AGTGTGTTGAGTGAGTGAGTGAGAGTGTGAATGAGTCTGAATGAGAGTGTGAGTGAGAGTGTGAGTGAGAGTGTGAATGAGAATGTGAGTGAGAGTGAGTGAGTGAGAGTGTGAATGAGAATGTGAGTGAGAGTGAGAGAGTGTGTGAGAGAGAGTGCGTGTGCGTTAGCGTGTGCTTGTGCGTGAGAGAGAGATAATGCACAAGCAAATAAGAACCAATATTCACAATGACAAGACGCATCCTAAGATATCAGAAAACACCTAGAATCCATTTCTGGAAAAAAACGAACCTCTGGGACTGGGTTTGATCGGCCTCATCTGATCTTATCGGCGAATTACTTATCCACGAAAGCTAACACACTGAGATACCATGAATCTTGGAATTTTTAACACACTTCGTACTGCAATTATTTTCAAGCGTTTGACACCAAAGCTCTTTCTTCTTTTTTCTCTCTAAATTCGCACAGCACGTATTTCCAAGCCTTTCCTCCTTTTCGTTACTGATATAAATTCACAGCAATATGATAAATGAAGCGAGGGCTACCCCTGTCTTCAGAACACTACAAAGGAAATCTGCGGGTTTTTGGAGCGACCTTCCCGAGCGATACCGAAGCTGTGAATGACGCCGCCACGGGTCACGGATGTCAAACTGAGGACAGAAGGCGAGAGCGAGAGACGGGGGGAGGCTCGCACAGGTCGTCGGGAGTGTACAAGTGAGTTTTTTTAAATCTACAAACAGGTAACAGTTTTTTTCGCAGCCCTATGTCTATATGCAATTATATTACATATTTTACGTGTTAAAAACCTTTTCGATATGATAAAAACAAGTAAATTTTTAATAAATCTCATATACTACAGCGAATGCGATTGCACGCTATTAAACTTCTGTTCTACCTATGGGGTGGTTCAAAATTGTCAACGTTTTCACGACCGTACAAAGCGCATGCTAGGAGGAGGGGGTTAAACCCGCTAGCACGCTTTTTAAATTCTATGAAAAATGTTGATATCAGATCGTACGAGTGCTCAGTATCTGTGGCTGATACTGTTACCTTGTCCTGATACTCCTCCCAAATGAAAATCACCCCTAATTATGAAAATGATCCAATATGAAGCTATAGGAGGAATCATGACTATCATGACATTTTCACAGGACTGGCCTGTCTGGCATCAATATTTGTATTTTAGGGGAAAAGGGGGGCAGCAAAAAGTACTCTTTATACACTTGTGAAAGTGAAAATATTGAACCACCCCTAAGTAACCGGACATGCCCATTTACAGCTTCCACATCTTACAACCCTTCAAAACGCCAATCAAAATAGAATTAATATCCAACAAGAACCCAACTACATCACCCGGATACTCACCAGCTTCCTTGATCCTGTCGCCAACAGCCTTGGTCCGGTTGTTACGCTCTGAGCCAGCCAAATCAACCAAGGACAGCTGAGACACCATCATGCTAGCTTTGTCCGTCACCACCTCCTCGCCCTGGGCATCTAGCGGGGCCTGGAAATGAGACCAATAATAAGTAAAGGATAAATCATGTCGTGGGATCGTAACTGAACCTCAAATCTTGATTGCATGTATGTAAGTGTATCCGATACCGCTGAAATTCACAAGGTAAATTTCAACAATGACTAAAAAATGCTTATTTATAATTCATCTTAACGTCAAACAATTCCGCAGCAATTCTTAACGATGTGACCGCAGACCGGCACAAGCCACTTGCACGAGGTGAACATCACACCTCTATGACGATACCCACAGGTGTTTCTCGGGGGAGGGGCGCAGGGGGAGGCACGCGTGAATGGGGGCGGGAGTGTCTTTTACTCCTATGTGTGAGGATGTTTGACCGTGGTGTGAGGAACTGGACAAAAGGCTTAATGTATTTTGACTACCGGAGTGTACCGTCGGGTTTTAGCGGGTATTTACTGCATGCTTATTACTGGAACTGAATACTGCATTTACTTAAGAATTGTTCAATATATACATGATTTCAAGGTGTATGATTCCTATTCTATTTTAACGTTATCCTACATGGCATTCATGACAGAAATTTCCATTAATAGCGACAGTAGAATGTTCAAGATGGCGGCATTGTGTAAATACCGACAACTTATTGACATAATGCCTTTTCGCCACCCTTTTACATCACATACAAAGAAAACCAATTTTCCAAACATTCCCCTTTTCCCATAATCTATAATTCAGTCAAGCATTCTATAACCATCATCCATTAACCGGCATTACAGTGTTGCTCTACATATCCATCTTTCATCAAGCAAGCGATTCAGCTGCCACTGCTAATTTCGATAAGACACACGATGTCAACCTTTCACTACGTTTACTGTTTTTTTTTCACTCTTATTACGGACATTTGACACACTGACTCTGTTGCGGTTTTCATTAATAAAATCATGTTCAAGTTGGCTAAATATAGCCTAAAGAGACCGAATTTCCATGTAGTAAAGCCCCACACAGGTTCTAACAATGAATTCCTGACCTACTGGGAATGTTGTGCTAATTCCCCCCAGTGTAAATTCCACTATCATATCTGTTCCTACCATTCTTTTTCGTTTGCTTAAATTGTAGATCTGGGTTGTCAAAAATACGACCTGCTAGACTCATGTGCGGCCGGCGGCACATTTGCTACTTCTGAATTACAGTCGGCCGTTTTATATGCCCACTAATGCCAGTCCTTCGCCTTTTAAGAAAATCGCTTACACTCTTTTTTATTGTATTTTTGTAATGAATGAAATTGTACTAGTTTTGCTCTAATCATGATTATATGAACCGCTAATAAATACTGTATACTAAGGTGAAATGTGGTCCCAAATGAGTTTGACAGCCCTGGTGTAGAGGAGGTTATCGAATTCTGCGAGACACAAACAGCTATTGATGAATTTGTGGTATACCAGATCTTAATGTTATCCTACTAGATCATTATGGTAATTTGATATTAAGGTCTGATTTACCAACTGAATTATGTTAGAATTATGTTATATCTAAGTAATGCCATGTAAGCTATAGTGAAAATTACATTTCTTAACAAGTCATCTTTCTCTCCCTCTCCTTTTACTCCCCACATGTCCAGATGAATAGTTACAATGAGTGCAGATTAAATTTTAAATAGAAGACCCAAAGTTCAGAACTGCAAGATAACTGAACCTTACAATAATTTTCATTAATCTAGATTCAATTCTTCAACATAATAATAAATCACTCTAACCCCAAGTAAGTGTTCAGTTGAATTATGGTCTTATGTTTATAATAATACAATATTGATTGACTCTGTGGTCCTAAGTATATCAATCAATCTTGTTGCACTAAAAGCTTTCCAATCATCTTACAGTAAGATTGCAAGTTTCCAAAGCCTCAGATTATATTCTTTGAATATAGAATAAGAGTATATTACTGATACAACATAAACATAAGAATATGTGACAACGTAGAAAGTATCTTCTGAAACATGCAGTATCACTTGCCATTAGTTATTATTCAAAAGGAAGAAAAACAGATTAAATTAACTACAAAGTTTTCAGAAACTTCTTCTATGGTGCAAGATACAGTTGGTTGAAAAAGATTACACTTCTTTGTTAAATGTTTCTTGTATCAGTGCAAGAAATAAGACAGAAGACATCATATCCTTTTCTATGGCATAAGAATACTTTCTAAAGAGATAACACTTACCTGGACTACTCTGATTGTGAATATGGAATGTGACCGAGAAGATTCACAGTTTAGACGCGTATAAGCAATCTTGCGCCTTCTCTGACCTTTGTATAAAACCTGTAATCAGAAATTTGTGTTATTTCTTAATCATACCAACCTGCACTCTTATATGATCCACAATTATGACTAGTTTGTACTATCAGTGATCACATCTAGTAAATTGTAATCATTGCTGATATAAATACGCAGAAGCTGTACTATTATTAATCTCAAAGCAAGCTTAATTGCAATCTTTCCATTAATTTGGCCTCCTTATGGACTTCAAAGTCATAACATAAGCAGGGCAACCTCAGTGATACCATTAAAACCTTGTAGAAACAAAATATTAATCACACACAACTATTCAGCTTGAAACCTTCATCTACCTCAAGTTCTACAACTCACCTCCAGTGCATCATCTGGATTCTTCACTTCAACCTCTGTGCACCCATGTACATACATATTGTGTTGGGCATCTTCACGCAAGATTTTGGTCTGCAGTCGTCTGTGAATGAAAAGTTTGTCAGCACCTATATAAAATAGTATATCATATGAATATATAATTACAAGGGTACATTTTTTCGGTCCAAATTAACAAAGTTTGCGGTATTTTTAAAGCATTCAAACATTGAAGTACATAAATCATAAATATACACAAATCCACATATATGCAAGCATACAGTTTCCACTCACCCAGATGGCCCTGCATCAGATAAATCTTCCAGGAGGTCATATATATAATTATTATAGATCTCAATGTAAGCAACAAAGATTGAGAACACATTATCCTCATCAATGCATTCAATTCTTGAGGTGTCTGGGATCCGCTGAGAGCTATCTTGGGAGCCACTTGTGTCTCGTCTATATAAAATAGAAGAAAGCAATACAAACATGATATGGGTCATGGCTATAAAATAAATTACATTACATCATCATCTTATAGAATCACTTAAGTCATCTGAAACACTTTCACTATACATCCAAAAGAAAAGAAAAGTATGATAAATATTTTAGAAATTTATGATACAAAGATAATTTCTGGAATTTCAGGAATCAAATAAAAAAAATTACTAGTCAAAGTGAAAATACTTCAAATGTATGAAATACATCCCTAAAGCAGGGATAAAAAATTGAAGACATGAGTGGAATTGCAAAAAATATAATAAATATTAGATGGCACACTTGTACAGCAAATTCAAAGAAAATGTAGAAATGCTATAGGTGCTTATTTGGATGGCAAATGCAAAACACAAAATGAATTTGATAAATATAGCTAGAGATTTTATAAAGAACATGAGAATATTAATAGTTTAAGTTGGTTTGGGTTTATACAGTGCAGAAAACTTATGAAGGGGAATAATTTGATCAAATATATAATCATGGAAAAGACATTTATGAAGGTAATTTAAAAAATGCTGAAAAAATACAATATACCATCTAAAGGATCATGCAAAAATTCTTCACACTTTCAGCAATGTGAATATTTAACTGCTACCTAACTTTTAAAAGCAGTCTGTAAAACAGGTTCATAGACAATTTTTTTTTATACAAAGTACTTTAATTCCAATCCCTAAAATAGATACAGCAATAAACTGCTTGATCCCTCATGCATCAAAAATTGTACTTATAACTAGAGCAAAGAAAACCCTAATTACAAATACAGGATTAGGATTCAAAACAATGCAAAAGAAGAAATTAGCATTTCTAGTCACAGAATTCAGCTTATTTGAAATCTTTACTGGAAGCAATTAGTAATAGTCAACTCTAAAGTAAAAAAAAATAAAAAGATCAAAATTCAAAGAGAAGCAAGGCAAGCATGTATTCTTTCTCCTAACCCTTTTGTACTTATATGGCAGATGAAAAGATAGCAAGGAATGTTGCTTAATAGTGTTAACATTATGAACAGCATCTTATCAAGTCCATAAAGTCTACAGCATATGCTATGAAAGCAATGTACTTTATGTAAAGACTATGGTAAAGAAATTAATAAGAAAGCTAAAATCATGATCTTAAAAATATTTGATTTCGATGAGATATTCAACCCATTGGCGCCAGGCATGTGTAGGATCTATTCAAGTTTTGTTTTCTCAATTTTCTTTAAACAGATATCTTCACAAACACTTAAGTCTTCCAGTTACTAGGCCTACTATATCTCACTTGTTTACCCATTCCTCACATTTTTAAGAAAAAGTTTGTTTCTGGCACTATTGTGGTCATTTTCATTTTAACTGTATCCTTATTTCTTATTCATTTATCATTTAATGACAGTAATAAAAATAATTGTTTTCTTTCCAAAAAAAATAAAGGAATGGCATAAATATAACAAGATCAGGTAGGCCATGTAAATGTTCCCTTGGTGACTAACTACTTCTAAAGTCAGCAATATGTAAACAAAATTAAAAAATAAAACCACAGTCCAGGGTACTTGAGCATGCACTTTATGTCAATGGGGATAAGTGTTAAGTAGGTTCAAGAGCATAAATATCTAGGAAGATTGATTTAACTGGATTGTAAATGTGAAGCAGAAAAAAAAATAGACAGAATGAGTCAACATTCTGTAACTATAGCAACCTAAGAAATCACCTTACTTAACCTCAAAGTTTTCAATGTTGATTTTACCAACTATTCATTATTTTTGAGTATTAGATATCCCTATCTTCTATGAAAAAGACCGATATGAACAATGCAGCAGATGTGGCTTTAAAAATTCAAACTGAGTCAGTCTGATACACAATATAAATGAAATATCAGATTTCAAAATATGAAAAACTTCAATCAAGATGAACCCAAGATCTCATGAAGAAAGAATAAAATCTGCCGGTCAGTCATTGATAAATTGTGCCGGGAGCTTGCAATACTGTTCTAGATATGCGAGTTGACTGATCAAGAGAACAGGAGAGACAAAGAAGGTTCAGATGGCTAATACCAAGAGTTAGACGCAAGACCCAAATTTTGGAGACATTAAAGCATTCAGCAAAGAATGGCTTACTTGGTGAGAAAATCATGTCAAAATTTAAGCAAAAAACAAGTGCTGTGGAGGATGATTATGTACCAATACAAAACTAAAATTCAACATTACAGGCAAAGAGTTTTCATCATGATTAATCTCACACAAGAGTTCTCTGTAGCTTGAAAGTGATGTAGCTATCACATTTTCCAAACTACAATGATTTTTTAAAACTAGTTTAGTCCTATTATAATGTGAACATGAAAATCTGTTTATACCACTGTGATCTTACAATACCAGCAGACAGGGGTTCCCTAAAAACTTCTTTCCAACAAGCTACTTATACATTTCTGACTCCATTTAGTGATTCCTCAGCAAACATTCATATATTTTCTACTAATCCTATTTTTCCCATTCCTCTCTAAAGTAATTCCTCCAAAATCCTGTAATCCCTGTTGTTACCAAACTATCCCAAAATGTTCCAAATACACAAAAAATTAAAACCTATCAATTTCTTCCAATAATTTCCTTACCTGTATCTGGGGGTCTTTGGCGTTTTAGGATAAATGGGTGTGGCGTCAATCCTCCGTCGCTCACTGGAAGCATCCGATTCACACTGAGCATCGAAGCCATTCATTCCGTCTGGCTTGAAGATGCGCCTCTTTGTTTGGTATTCATTAATGCTATTGAAAATGACATCTAATGTCCTGGGAACAATACCTCCATCATGGGGTGATCCCTGATAAAACAGGAAAAAAAGTTAAACGAGATTCTTTAACTTTTTGTTTGAAAATGTTTATATATATCAATGTATCTAATAGATATGATAGTAATGTTATCTAAAT